ATAAAAAATAATAATATGTGTAATCAGTGGCTTTTATACCTATGTCAAACAATTCCGTATAACAGACAGACAGGCAACCCTTGAAATGTGCATGACCTGTGGGGGAGAAATACGTTAAAACTCTACTGAAGAACACAGAAAAAGACATGAACAAATGGAAAGACATATCATGGTTTTCGATGGGAAGACTCACAGCATTATAGTGTCTATTATTTCTAAATATATTTGTAAGTATTTACATAAAATATAAATTTAATTTCAATCAAATTATTAATAGGTTCTTTTAGGATATGGGGGGGCAGAAAGAGAAACAAAAGTATATTTAAAGTTTATATTTTAAAAAATATCCAAGAAAAGTTTGAAAAAGAAAGTAGAAAATTAGAATAAATAAAAGGTTCCTCTTCAAAGTTTTCCACTTAGATCATTATGAATAAATAACAGTTTCTTCAAAGGTTAATTTATTTTAAAGCTTTTGCTAATAATCTTAAAGTAGCTGTTAGTCATAATAAAGAAATAAGTGCATCCCGTGTTCTTAGTTCTTACACTTTAACCTGGATATTTGCCCTGACATGCCTGGACAAGCCCAGGCAAATCTTAAGTCAGAGCTTATTCCCCTTCCTTATTTGAAAATGTTATCGCTTCTCTAAGCATTTCTCAAGTTACTTCTTTTCCTTTGTTCTCCTCTGCCTTTACATCTTTAGAAAACTTCCAAGTTTTTAGCCAATCAGGTCAAGCATAGAATGGGAGGCCCCATTCTGGCCAATGGAAACTGGACACAGCAGTAGGGCAACTGTGTCAGGTTATGAAAGTTATAAATATCCCTGTCTCCTTGTTCAGGTGTGCTCTTGTGGCAAGACTACTGGTGAATTGCACCCTTCCTGCAGGAAGTAAAGCTAGCCTAGCTGAGTAACCCATTGTCTCAGTGTGGATTTTTCCCAACATTATAAATCCATTTCCAACAAAGAAAAGCAACAAAAAGGGCCTAGCCCACCAGATATTAAAACATTCTGTAAAACTTCCAGAATAAGAAACAACATGACTCTAGACACTCCATAAGCCATAAAGGAAAATAATAATAATTTACATAAAAAGGAAAGACTTCTGTATGAAAAAAAAATCATAAACAAAGTCAAAAGACCAATGACCAGGAAAAAAAATCTACAATTCATGTTGGAAAGGACTAATTGTTATATGTAAATAGTTCCTAGAACATAATAAGAACCACAACCCAAATATGAATACATAATAGGAACTGTTTGCAAAAACCACAAATGGCCCTTAAAAATATGAAAAGATCTGTCAGAATCTGTTTGACAAAAAAATAAATAAAATTATTTCAACATTATTCAACAAAAGAGAAATATAAATTATCCTGTGCTCCCATTTTTCAACTATCAAATTAGCAAAACCCCAAAATTTAACAATACATTTTGCAGGAAAGACTAAATTGTTGGTGAGAGTACAAGTGGGTATGATTATTGTGAAGGGCAATGTGGTCATCACTATCCAATCTCAAAGAAATACACACTTTCTGGACGATTCATGATATTGAGCATCTTTTCATATACCTGTTGGTCATTTTTATATCTTCTCTAGATAAATGTCTATTTAAGTTCTTAGCCCATTTTTAAATCAGGCTATTGGTTGTTTTGCTATTGAGTTTTATGTGTTCCTTATATATCTTAGAGATTAGCCGTTTGCAGATATACGGCTTGCAAATATTTTCTCCCATTCTTTAGTTTGCCTTTTCACTCTGTTGATTTGTTTCTTTTGTTGTGCAGCATTTTTGCTTGATGTAGTCTCACTTTTAAAATTTTGCTTTTGTTGCCTGTGCTTTTGGTGTCAAACCCATGAAATCATTACAAAACTCAACATCATGAAGCTTTTCCCCCTAAGTTTCCTATGTTTTCTTTTAGGAGTGTTATAGTATCAGGTTCTACATTTAAATATTTAAATCATTTTGAGTTGATTTTGTGTATAGAGTCAGATAAGGGTCTAATTTCATTCTTCTGCATGTGGATATTCAGTTTTCCTAATGCCATTTATTGAAGAGACTGTTCTTTCCTCATAGTTTATTCTTGACACCCTTGACAAAAAAAAGTGGATTATAGATATGTGAATTTGTGTCTGGGCTCTCTATTCTATTCCATTAGTCTATGTCTGTCTTTATGCCAGTACTACACTATTTTAATTACTATAGCTTTGTAATATATTTTAAAATCAGGACATGTGAAATCTCCAACTTTGAAAAATATACATTTGTTCTGGCAGTTTTATTTCTGGAAATATATCTTACAGATTAGCTGTACATATTTAAATTAAGGTTATTTGCTGCAACACTATTGGAAAACAATCCAAATACCCATCTGTAGAAGACTACCTAAGAAACTAATGGTATGCAAACACCATACGTTCTCACTAATAAGTGGGAGTTGAACAATGAGAACACAGAGAGGGAACAACAGAGAGGGACACAGCGAGGGAAACAACACACACCAGGGCCTTTTAAGGAGTTGGGGGCTGAGGGGAAGGAACTTAAAGGGCAGGTCAATAGGTGCAACAAACCACCATGGCACACATATACCTATGTAACAAACCTGCACATTTTGCACATGTATCACATTTTTTTAGAAAGAATAAAGAATGCTATCACAAGTGTAAAAGGTAGAAATAAATGAGAACGTACATATTATACTTGTATTTGCTTAAATAAACTCTCTGAAAGAGGCTGGGCACAGTGGCTCAGGCCTGTAATCCCAGCACTTTGGGAGACCAAGAGGGGTGGATTACATGAGGCCAGGAGTTCAAGATGACCCTGGCCAACACAGTGAAATCCCACCTCTACTAAGAATGCAAAAGGTAGCTGGGTGTGGCGGCTCGTGCATGTAGTCCCAGGAGGGGGACTCCCTCAGGAGGTTGAGGCAGAAGAATCACTTGAACCTGGGAGGCAGAGGGTTCAGTGAGCTGAGATTGTGCCACTGCACTCCAGCCTGGGAAACAAAGCAAGAAACTGTCTCAAAAAAAAAAAAAAAAAAAAAAAAGAAAGAAACTCTGGAAAAAAATACAGGAAACTAAGAAAACCAAAAGAGAAATAGGAATGGGGAAAGGATTGAAATGAAAATTTTCACTTGTGTATCTTTTATTTTATTTTTAAAACTTGATGAAGACTACCTTTGTACAAAAGTAAATCAAAAATTTAAGTAATTTTTCAAAGAAAATAATGTCTCTAATTAACGGTGTAGGATAATCTAAACACAAAAACAATGGAATAAATCAGTTTTTAAGAAAACTATCCTGAATCATTTTACATTGTATGCATGTGTCACAATATCACTCTGTATCTCATAAATATGTATAATTATTATGTGTCAAGTAAAAATAAAAGGTAAAAAATACAATATAAAATTTTAAACTGATAGATTTTACTATATAGAAATGTAAAGCTTTTAAACATTGACAACTTTGTAAATCAGGCTCAAAACCAATTAAACATGAAAACATTCATCCTCACAAAAAATTAAAATGGCAAATTAACAGTAAGATGTCTTTCTAATTTAAAATCTTTATTTTTATTTTTATAGATTTAGGGGGTACATAAGTTGTTTTGTTACATGGATATATTGCATAGTGGGGAAGTCTAGGTTTTTAGTGTAGCCATCACCCAAATAGTGTATATGGTAACCATTAAATAATTTCTCATCTCTCACTCCTCCCCCAGTATTAACTTTTTATTATAAAATGATTTGACTTACAAAAAAGTTCCAATAAAGAACAAAGAATTCCTCTTTTCCCTTAATCCAGATTTCCCAAATATTGGTATTTTCCCATATTCGCTTTATCCTTCATTCTCTCAATAAACAGATATGCAGACAAATAGATTGGTAGAATTTTTTCTGATACAACGGAAGTGTGGAGAAGTAGGTCAAAGGATGCAAACTTGTAGTTATGTAGAATAAATAAGTCTAGAGATCTAATATGCAACGTAAGGACTGTAGTAAATAATATGGTATTATATGCTGGAAATTTGCTGAGAGTAGACTTTAAGTACTTTTACCACGAAAAAAAAGCAAACACTGGAAAGTAATAGGCATGTTAATTTGCCTGACTGACTAATAATTTCATTGTGTATAGTATATATAAATCAAAACAGCAAGTTTCTCATCTTAAAGACATACAATAAAAATGATAATTTTTCTGAATGTTGAAAGCTGCCAACATGATGTCCCTTTATCTCTAGATTATCTCCATAAGCAATTCCTAGATGCAAGAACATTCTCTGAGACAAACACAGCACAATGATCAAAATCAGGAAATTAACATTCATGTAACTTTATTATCTCATCTACAGAGTTTTGTCCCACAAATGTCCTTTATCTAATATCCAAGATCCAATCGAGGATCACATGTTGCCTTTCCTCATCACCTATCTTTAATCTGGAGTACTTCTTCCTTCTTTCTTTATCTTTACACATTTGAAGAGTGAAGGACGGTAGTTTTGCAGAATGTTCTTCAGGCTCTCCTTGTGTTTTTTTATGATTAGACTCAGGTTATATATTTTTGGTAAGAATAGCACAATAATGATACTGTGTGTCTCTCCAGAGCACCAGATCAAGAGGCGCATGGCATCAATGGGTCTCATTTCTGGTGATGTTAACTTTGGGCAATTGTTTAGAGGAGAGGGACTATAAAGTTACATTTTTCTCTTTGTAATTCATACTCCTAGGTATCCTGAGGAAAGATACTTTAAGACAATGAAAAATTGTATTTCTTATCCAAAAAAAAAAAGTGTTTAATGACAGGATTCTGTTCTGTCAAGAGTACTTTCACAAGGTAATTGAAACAATGTAACACCGTGCACAAAAGGTTTTTACACTCTAACGCTAAATTCACTCCAGGAAATAAGCCTAAAAGAAAACCAGAAGTATGATTAACGATGTCTATTCAAGAATATTTACTACAGTGTTATTTATGGTGGTAAAAAATTAGTACATGCACAAAAGGAAATATTATACAAACTTTTTTTAAAAGAGGGAGGCCAGGCAGAATAATCTGGAACTAACAAGTCCTGTGAACTTTCCCTTCAACCTATTCTGCGCCTTCAGTTGGGACTCAGCAATCGTTCTGAACCCAAGCATCAATACCAAGTCTCAGCCACTACTTCTCATTCAGTCTCCGTGTCCTAATCCACAGCCTCTTCATGGCCTTCTTCATTTCAGCATTTCTCAGGGAATAGATGACAGGGTTCAGGAGCGGGGTTATCACCGTGTAGAACACAGCCAACACCTTGTCTATGGGCAGAGTGGTGGAAGGCCTCAGATAGATGAAGATGCAGGGCCCAAAGAACAAGCTAACCACAGTGACATGAGACCCACAGGTGGAGAGAGCTTTGCGCTGCCCCTCAGAGCCCCAGGCCCTCAGATGGAACAATATGACCAAATAGGATGCTAAGAGGACCCCCAAACTGATCACAGACAAGGTCCCTCCATTGGCAACAATCAGCAGACCAATGAGGATGGTGTCAGAGCAGGCAAGTTTTAGAAGGGGAAGCAGGTCACAGAAATAGTGATTGATCACATTGGGGCCACAGAAGGGCAAGTGGAAGACCAGAAGGATTTGGGCAAAGGAATGCATGAAGCCTCCCACCCAGGCTGTTCCTACAAGGACAGCACACACCTGCTGATTCATGATAGTGGTGTAGCTGAGGGGCTTACAGATGGCCACATAGCGGTCATAGGCCATCACAGTGAGCAGGAATATCTCAGTGCCACCAAAAAAGTGCATGAAGAAAAGCTGTGCCATGCAGCCCCACCAAGATATGGCCTTCCTTTCAGCCAGCAGATCCGAGATGAGTTTGGGGGCTGTCACAGAGGAGTAGCAGATCTCCACGAAGGAGAGGTAGCTGAGGAAGAAGTACATGGGGGAACCAAGGCTTCTGCTGGTCATGACAGTGAGCACAATGAGGAAATTCCCCAGCACAATTGCTGTGTACAAGAACAGAAATATCACAAAGCAAACCCTCTGCACCTTTTGATTGGGAGAAAGTCCCAGAAAAATGAATTCCGTCACATTGTGTATGTTAGCCATGAGGCTGTCACCAAGATGCAGCAATATGGGTGGTGTGACCTGAAATGATACAAAAGACTTCTTCTTCCCCGAGTGACTGAATTACAGTAAAGCCTTTGCATAGCTGAGACACTTGTGACGTAGAAATGGAAACATGAGTAGGAGTTAGTTATGTGTAGAAAGGAAGAGCATTCCAAGAAGGCAGAGAGCAAGTACGAAGGCCTTGTGTGTGGCTGAAATAAAGAGAAGAATAGCAAAAAATAAAGCTGTAGATAGGCATTAGTACCAATTCGTGAAGGACTGTTAAGGCCTTTGGGGACCCTAACTGTCCCAAAGTAATTTTACTTTCCAGTTGATGAACATACTTGATGATTTTCCATTGTCTACAGGATCAGACAAAGTCTGTGTATGTAGAGACTCAAAGTACGGAAAGCGCTGTCCAGTGGAAATAGATCAGAGGAGGAGCTCTGTTAGGAAGTTAGTAAGTCCCCTCATTGGACAATGTGGAAACAGCCAGGATACTGATACTGTCTCCATGTCTCCATGTTAGATGTCTTTCTATTGCCTTTGAGTGTTTTACATCATCTTGTGCCTACAGCTTTCTTTCATTCCACCTCTTTCTCTTTTTTTTTTTTTTTTTTTTTTTTTTTTTTTTTTTTTTTTTTTTTTTTTTTTTTTTTTTTTTTTTTTTTTTTTTTTTTTTTTTTTTTTTCATGTTTTGAGACAGGGTCTTACTTTGTCACCCAGGCTGGAGTGCAGGGGCATGATCTTGGCTCACTGCAGCCTTGACTTCCCCAGGCTCAAGTGACCCTCCCACCTCAGCCTCCTGAGTAGCTAGGACTACAGGCATGTGCCACCACGCTCTGCTAATTTTTATATTTTTTGAAGGGCAGAGTTTCACCATGTTGCCCAGGCTGGTCTTAAACAACTGATTTCAAACAATCCACCCACTTCGGCTTCCCAAAGTGCTGGGATTACAGGCATGAGCCACTGCTCCTGATCTTCTTTTCTATCCTCGCTTTGCAGAACCATGTCCTCAACCTCTCCACGTACCATTCAGTCTTTAGAAGAGATCTCCCTGGTGGACCACCTTTGACAATCAACATCTCCTCTTATTTCTGCTTCTCCCTCTAATTCTCATATTCTACACTTGGTCCCTTGGTGAGCTTGTCCTCTTCCAAGGGCCCAGCTCAACTCAATCCGTGCACAATTCTCCTCTTTACTGGCACCTTCAGTTTCTCCAATCCCATCCTCTAGTGGCAACAAAGGTCCAACACCCCCCACCACACACACACACACACACACACACACACACACACACACGCACACACACACACCCCCACACATACACACACATACATCCCAGTGCCCTCTCATGCTCTGACACATCCTTCATAGCCCAGGCTTTCAACACCTCAGGGCATCACCAAGACTGCTCACCGACTGACTGGCAGGCTGTCCTGGCCCACGCTAAACTCTGTCCAAGGTGGCTGAGGTTTTGTATATCCACATAGTCTCTCCTACAGTAACACTCCCGGCCACCTGAGCCTGGGAGCCAGATCACTTCCACTCAGACCACAAAGCTTCTTTGCTTCCATGAGTGGGGCAATCTCAAGTGATTAAAGACCACCATGAGCCAGAAGGAAATCACTGACAGAGCGTATAGTTACAGAAACAAAGAAAGGCCAGCCCCAAACTCTGAGATCAGCTGGGGAACTTTACCAAGAAGTTTCTCACAGAAGAAAGCACTAATAGTCTGAACTCCTGGATTCGTAGTCAGATTTTTCAGGGAGGGTTTGTGTAAGATCTCGAAAGTTCTTTAATGTCTCAGAGACTCAAGCTCTGACTGTAACATGCAGATAATGCCTCCCTCACAGGTAGGTCCTAAATCCCACTCCCAGTCCATCCCAAGATAAGTTAAGGGCCAGTCCTATGTGCTGCCTGGATTCCTCTCCAAGATAGGAAGCCCATCTCCCCAGTTCACAGGCCCTCTCTGCCTGGGGCCCCTCTTCTCTCAGGACGTTTTGGAATCCCAGCACTTACCACACTGAATTATCATTGTTTTTGAGTGGCCATCTGCCCACTGGAGTGTGGGTTTCCTTAAGGCAGAGTTGACAGTTGCTCACCACTCCATCTCCAATGCTTACTGCAGTGCCAGCCATGCAATAGCATTCAGTGAATGTAGAAAGAATGAATAATACTGGATATGTATCTTCCCAGCCTTCTTAGCACTGTATTTGGTACCCTGTTGGTGCTCAGTAAATATTAAGAGAAGAAAGTTCCCCAAGGACTAACACCACACCTTCTTCATCTCTGAATCGCAGAGCCTAGCACTTGTGTTCGCCTCAAAGACCAGATGGATGTGAAAGTCCCTTGTAATGTGCTATATACTTCCTGGAACCATTCTCTTACTTTCAAGGTGGAATCAATCATCACTACCAAAGAAGCCCATGGTCACAAAACAAAACTCACCCCAGTGTTTCTGTGGCTTTCTGGTTGTCACCACAGTTCTCTATACTGTTCTAACCACAGAGAGGTAAATAACACCCTGAGAACAGCCCTAGGCTCACACAGGTTTCCCAGTTCACCAATCAAGAAGCTTTACAAAAGGCCACACTACCAGCCAGAGCTCCTGCCTCACTGGAGTCACAAGACAGAGAAGATCTGCTCCCCTGCAGCCTCAGGCTTAGAAATGCTGAGAAATGCTAAGCCACTGGGGTTTCAATTACACCTGATTTAAAAGAAGAGCAAAGTAGACTTGCCCCCCAAGGTTTTCCGCAGAGAACTTAGAACCTGGCAGCTCAGCCCTGAGTTCACAGTGCTTAAGACACTAGGGGAGGAGGCATGTGATCAGGTGAGAGAAGCTGGGTCCCTAGAGACCTGTACCCTTTCCCCTTCCTAATCAGGCAGACCACCTCATGGGAAGCAGGGCCTCAAATTCCTTGTAGGAAACAACTTGCAGAAAACAACTCACACTGGTAGGAAAATCTCAAACTTCCTTGTAGGGAACAAGTTTAGAAAGAAACAGAAATTGTGAACAAATTCAATTCACCCCATGTTTGTACTTTCTCTACATGTGGCTGTTCAGAGGTCCATGAGCTATTGCCTCTGCTTATCAAGAACTCAGTCACATGGCCTTACATAAAATGACACCATTCAGAATAGGGGGCCCATGGAATAGAGACCACGAGTGTCAGAAAACTGAAGTAGCCCTTCTCTGTGTCTGGTGTGAATGAGTTACGGATCAGTGGTTTTCAACCAAGGGCAATTTTGCCCCCAGAGGATATTCGACAAGATCTGGGAACGTTTTCCATGGTCACAACCTGGCTGGGCAAAGAGTGCTGCTTACATTGAGTGGGTAGAAGCCACGGGTGCTGTGAAAGCTCCCACAATGCACAAGGCAAGCAAAGATGATCTCACCCAAAAAGTGAAAGAAGCCACACAGAAAAGGGTACGTGCTTTCATTTAAACAAGCTTAGGACAGGTTAAACTAATTCATGATGAGAGAAATTAGATCAGTGGTTGCCTGAGGAGGGTGCAGATTGCCTGGAAGGAGTCAGGAGAGAAGTTTCTGGGGTGACAGAAATATTCTACATCTTGGTTGGGAAGTCGGTTCACAGAAATATAAATTCGTCAAAACCCATTAGATGGTACACTTAAGGTCTATACATTTTTTTGAATGTGGATTTTACTTCAATTACTAAGAATACATTTTAAATGTTATTACCACAAAAACAAAAACTTTGTGAAGTAATGTATGTGAATTAGCTAGATTTTGCCATTCCATAATGTGCGCATGTGTGTGTATATATATATGTGTTTCAAAATGTATCATACATGATAAATACATAAATTTTTTATCTGTCAACTTTTTTTAAGGTAAAAATTAAACAAAATCATTTTCATAAAGTAAAATCTAACAGGGATGGGAAACCACAATGAAGGAAACCTCTGGTCTGGGAATCCGAATATCCTAATTTGTGCCCAGGCTTTGTGCTGGATTTACCCTGGAACAGAAATCGCTAGTGTTCCTAATAGTGGTTTCCTCCTACTTCCTTCTATAGTATTAGAACCCCTGAATTTTTATCAGGGCACATGCCCACCTGGAGTGAAAATTACACTACCCAGCCTCCCTTGAAACCTCAAGGAATGGGACATGCCTTATTTCGTCTCTTCCTGCTTTCTAATAACAGGATGCTGCCATTATGACTGGAGCTCCAGCAGCCATTTGGGGACATGCAGTGACCTTGGGAATTAATACTATAAAGGATGGAAAAACAAAATAGAGAACATTTCTAATCCAGATTGTTAACTTTTTGACTTTTATCTTGGTTTAGAATCTGACCCTTGCAGCCGAAACCTAATCTAAATGATGTTTCTTGTCAAATTGTACACTGGGAATGATTAATTCATACTTCATTGATCTCACAGGATTGCAACGAGACACGAGTGAAGTAATGAATGTGAAAGGGCTTTGAAATATGCATAAGGTATGATGTGAATACAGGATATATCAATTAATAAGTTCAAATATGGATTTAATGTATTAGTTTGGACAGTTGGTATTTTTTGTTGCAAGATAATATATGAACACTATTTCTATCTCTCAAATAAGTTCTTTTCTGGCTGCTTCAAGCAATCTCACTTCTGGTTCAAACCCTTCCCAAATGATAAAGACTAATAATGCTGACATAGTTTCAATATATTTTATCTATTCTGCAGCTCTTGAGCATCTTCCATCTGTCACTTATCACACTAGGTGCAAAAGCAGCAATTCACCTAAAATCAACTCGCCAGCTATAGTTTGCCAGATGGCCAAATTACCAACAGTCAATTCACAAGATTACCCAATTCAACAATTTCACTATGAGGCACATGGCCAGTTCACTGAATTATTAATTCACCAAAGATATGCTTCCACTTCCAATCTCAGTTAATCCTTTTCCTCTTAATTAAGAAGCTCTACGAAATCTGGATTGTAAACATACACAAAGTCAGCATCCACCACATCTGGAACAACAAATCCATTGAACATAAAAAAGCAA